TCGCACGCACAAACACTATCTAGCGTGGCTTCGTCGGTCCAGCTACGCTTCTCGAAAGAAGCCAACTGATCAGCAAAAAAAATATGCACTACTGCTTGTGTTCTTTCGTGCACGGTTTTTTTGTCATGCCGGGTAGATCCGAGGTGCTGGTGTCTTTCCATGCGTGTTTGGGACTGAAGATCGAATTGTGAGGGGGGTGGTTCGAACGGTCGCAGAGAACAAGCCAAGCTCATTTAATTCTACGAGTTCCAGGTCTCAGGTAGCCCAGGAAAATGGCATTAGTGTGGGGTTCCCTTGGAACGTTTTGTGCCTTTTCCCAACGGTTTAAGTGGGTTTCAGCTGATGTTAAAAATATTTTCCCTGGAACCCATTTAAAACAAGGCCGTGTTTCACGGAGAAGCGCTGGATTAGACCATGTACTGTGTGTAGGGCGGTTGCGTCACCATTGTGTATCAGTAAGGAGCTTAACATACTCAAAGTGCCAGAAAAATGTACTTTTTAATTTAATCTGTACATACAAGAAAATTAGTTCCCATGCGTTTCTTATTGCCGCACCTTACAGTATATATGTACTCAGAGTGTATGTACTTGTTAATTTGTTCTATATAATGTTTACAAGGATATTTGCTCACATACGTTCCAAATGACACATTAGTGTATACTGTACTACTACTGCAGTCGTGAATACCGAAGTAAGCGACTCGCATTGCAGAGATATTGGCGATATGGTATGTCGTACGCACCTGCTCCGCAGCCGCATCATCTGTTCGAACAACATTTACGGGGGTTCGATTAGTCGCACTTTACAGTGATGCCGCCAGAAGCAACATTCACCTGGGTGACATCAAACTAGTTTAGAGGATATTTATTTATACATTATTATTTTTCTTGATCAAAGTAAAAATGCTGTTTCTGATACAAGTTGAAACGACAGGCTATGCACATTTAGAGAAGAAAATCCACTTTATTGGGAGCGATAAGATTATCGATAATCCAATGTATTCTTATATAACAGGTGTATCATTTGCTGAAGTAAATTTCTTGAAGTTCTGTGCTGAATACGCTAAGTTTGGGATCTGAGTAAAAGAAGCTAGAGTCAGAATGACTCGCCTCCTAAACTTCTGGATATAAAATCCAGAGAATATAAACAGAAAAAGGCAAATTCATTGGATTTTTATCTTAGACTACCATAATAAGAAAAAAACGCTGGTTCCGTTAGTAAGACCTACTGAAAACGCATGGTTGACTACACCTTTGCCAGGTCAAGATGGTGCTACTCCACTTCAAAGTGGTGAAGTAACTAAACCTTTTTAAAAATCATTCTCAATTTTTACATTAGAGTTTATGTCACTTCACAAATATGTCGAGTAAACGCACTCCGTACTTCAAAGTGGTTTATTCGCAGTTCAAAGCGGATCAACCCTCCTGAGCGTGTGCGCGAGCACTTCATTGCCATTCCTCGCTCTCTCTTATCAATCTTTTACCAAGCCCATAACCAAGCCAAGCCTCTACCTACCCCAAGATGCCCAGAGCCCCGCACCTCGCATTTGCCAGAGCTCGTGTCCTCGACTGCCTCCGTGTCGGCGGTGACTGGACGCTTGTGGCCGCCCACAACGGAATCCCCGCCACCACATCACGTCGATTTGTGGAAGCAAACGGAAGCACACGTCGCTGAACGAGCCGACTTGGAACTTGTACGGCTGGCTCCGTACTCTTCAATATGTAACCCCATTCAAGGTACGCAGTATACTGTATTACAATATTTTTTTAAATGGCATACTAACCGACTTTTGAACTGGTGCTACAGGGTGTTTTAGTGCTTTTAAGGCCAAGATCAAGGCCGACCTTGCCTTGCCCCGTAAAGGGCTGGTTGTGGAGCATCCTCGCGGGACGGTTGCGGCTGCTCGGATGGAGAAACTGGAACGCGCGGCGAGACGCCGCATCGGATGTATCGACACGCACCTTGCTAACAGGTTGACACTGCATTGCCAGCATTCCGTTGCTGCCGCGGAGCGCATGGAAGACATGCAGTACGGCACCTAGCTCTGCGTTTTCGCCACTTTGAATTTCCTTTTTAGTGCTACTTTTTCGTAATCAAATTTTTGTTTTCATTTTTTTTAAAAAATCCGGTTTGAAGTGGAGTAGCACCATCTTGGCCTGGCAAAGGTGTAGTAACGGATCCGACACTGGTAAGGATGGTCTGCTGCGATCAGGAGCGGAGCCAGGCCTGAAATATGAGGGGAGGACACAGCCAGAATAAGAATTTATCGGCAATATTCTCCCTGCTGCTTATCTAAGAAACAGCTACCGATATTTAAACAGCAGCCGTAAGAAAACCGTAGAAATGAAAGAATTGTGCGATTCAACTAAAACTAGCTGTATGAAGTGCAAAAACACCTACTCATGGGACTACATCTCTGCCCGACAAGTTATTCAGAACAATCGACTGATGTTTAGTTCGGCGGCGTGAACATGGCCAACGGGTTGGTGGCGTTCTCCGGGCGTTGTTGGATCACGTCCCAATGCTCCTGAATGGCCGAGCCGTTCATGCGGAAAATGTCGACGACCACGCTCGGTTGTTGGCCAGCTGCAGGTGTGAAGTAGTAGTGGATCCAGCCCTGACCGATGTCCTCATCAAAGCCACGAGTGATAACGTTAGCAGGGTAGACGAGCCCGAACGACGAGAGGTCGCCGCTGAAGCCCTGAAGTACAGCAGCCTTGCCCGATAAGAAGTCGGGATTGTGTTGAATGTAGTCGTCGGCGAGATGGTCCTCGAGGAACGGCAGTGGCGTGCCGGACAGGAGGAAGCCATCGGCAAAACGATCGAAAATGGCCTTCTGCTGGGCAGGCGTGACCGGACGCGGTGGATGGTAGGGGGCCGACGGAAGCGCTGTACCATCCTGGCAAAGGTCGACAGCGGTAGCTGTCGTGGCGAGGAAAGCGGGAATGGCAAGGAAAATGGTGCTGAGCATGGCGGTCGATGGTTGCTTGTGAGGGTAAGTTCAAATTTGAGACTGATCAAATGGCTTGTTCATCCATAAGAATTGAGATTATCCGTCATTTACGGTAATGGATACTCGATTTAAGTAACTCAACTTTTAATAATCAGCTGCTTCGTCTATTTAGGGGATTTCCTAGTTTATCTTCAAGCTCTGTCTGACCTTCTGTCATTGTGGCCGCATTTATACCCACTTGTTGTTTTTTAAGTCTTCTTTTCGAGCAGATGCAGGTTTGCTTTACTTTTATGTAAATCAAAAATGAATGTATTCATACATCTTAAACATCTACTGCAGCAACCTGTCTGTCCGTCACACTAAATTGTCGTGCCTGTCACGCTTTTCCGGACAAATCATTGGATAAAATAATTTAAATATTCCTACTGGCTGCCGAGCGCAGCGAAGGTGGCCCCGATTGGCCTAAAAGCTGCCGAGCGCAGCGAGGCGGCCCAAATCGGCACCTTCTGCAACCCTGCGGGCCTTTGAGCCCGCCTGAGCCAAATCTACCAACCTACCGTGCGAGTAGTGAAGCGAGCCCGTGGCGAGCGGAACGGAGGCAAAATACAAGGAACGACATTCATTCTTTCCCGCCGCGTAGCGGCGGCACTCGGCTAGTCTAGAACCAAAACTACCAGTGCATCTAAATAAATACAAAAAGTCTTTAATTCTGGCATTAAAAAAAAGCTGCTGGGGTTTAAGTTAAGCAAAATTCACAATAAGGTCCGGTTGTGCCCGGTGTTTTTTTTGTCCAAATAAGAGAGGCCTGATGATTATGGCACACTATACGGTGCTGGCTAAAATAAATGTTACAGTAATCCCCACCTAATCCGAAAAGGTGGGACTACCATATATATACCACGGACTACCATATATATACCACGGTAATATAGCCTGCGAGGTTGGATGATTCGCACAGGTTTCAGTGAAACTTACACTGTAAGCTTAGATGCGAAATGTATCGTATTAATCTGAGCTCGTGTAATCTCGTCCATAAACAGAGGGGGTGGGGTTACATAAACAGTGTAATCATGCTGGCTAAAAAAAGCCTTTTTTAGTTTACTGTGCAAATACCAATACAGATGAAGAAGCCGAAGCCCAAAACGTCGGGAATGAAATAGCTAGAGTCCTTCAAAATGAAAAGTGCATTTACACTTTCCCTCGTCTCAAAAAACCTTACGAGGTTGCTCAATAGATGGCACGTAGAAGTCGACTACCGTTACAGACGGACGTGGCGGCGATAAAGAACGTGAACTCGCTCTGCTTCTGGTTTAAAAAGCGGAAAGCTGTGAGCTCTGCAACGGTGACGCCGCCGACGTAATACACCAGCACATTGGTGCGTTTCCCACCGTTGCTATTGTCCATACTCGAAGACGAGTCCGACATACTGTGGTGGCTGCTAGAGTTGGTACTCCCCAGACTTAATAACGACGAGTTCGGGTCTTTCGCGAGAGTTTTATACTTCATACCAAGCGAGTCTTGCAGCAACCGGATACTCATCGGCGCGTATCCTGTGTACGGGAACATAAAGTGGATATCTGTGGAATGTCTCGTGTCCTCGTCGTCCAGTGCGCCACGCATTAGTAGAAGCTGTTTGCGCATTTTAGGAAAGTCGAAGCGGTTCTCCACACTCAGCAAGTCCATCTTCTCCAATTGTACAAGCAACGGTAAGATCTGATGGCCGTAGGTATGACAGAGTTGCTGACGATACCACGCGAGGTTGTCTGGCTTAAGGCCGCCACGAACAAGTGAGCAGAGACAGAGCAACTTGACCACGTCGTAGAGATTCAGAGGAGGTTCGCGTAAGATGGCTTCCTCTAAGAAACTGTCCACGTCTTTAGCTGCAGTGGAAGAGGCACGCGGACCAGCACTCATGATGGTCATTTCCGTCTCCACACAGCCACGTAGAGCCAGTTGTGTGCTCAGCTCTCGAATCCGTTGAACAAGCTGCAAATGATGAGCCAGCGACCGCTTCTTCTTGACCAAATGCGGAGCTTTGGCCAACAAGGCCTTGACTTTCTGGAACTCAGCCTGACTGTCCTTAGGCAAGCCGGCCGTAGACCCGGCCGAGCTGCCACGGACCTCAGTAGCCAAGTCTTTGGCTACGGCCACTAGTTGATTTGATACTAAGTTAAAGTTGACGTCCCGGATCTCGTCGAACAGCGCGTCCAGGTGGTTCAGCACCACTTTCTGCGTCGTCGACTCGGCTTTAGAGCTGTTTGTATCAGTCGGTGCCTCTTCTGTGTCGTCATCATCCTTCTCGTACGTCACGACGCCGTGGTTGACCCCCACTAGCGCATCCAGCAGCCCTTCATACGTCATAGGCGTCAGAAGCATCGACAGCGGGTCTTCCATCCTGTCGATCACCACCAACTTGTCCATGGCCGTGGCCACATCGGCCTCTTCTTCCCTTATGCCGGCCGTCCGATTCATCTTGATCTTCTGCTGCTGTCGATGGGCCAGTTCCAGCATCTTCTTGACCCGTTGAGCGAAGAACCCGTGGCAGGTGACGTCCAAAATCCGGCGTCCTGTATGTTTCTCCACGGCCAACACACTCTTGACTACGTCTGTCAAGGCCCGGCTATCACCTTTCACGTAGAGCTCGCCGAAGACACTGTCGTGGCACAGGGCCGCGACTCCGCGGTCTACGGGGATGAGGCCAAGACCCAAGTTGACTTGGCGGATAAAGCCCGCAACACCCTGACGTTCCATCTCTAAGGTCACGTCAGATGTGGCCGTGGGTAGCCACAGCACGGCACAACGTCGAGTGGCCACGAGCTCCAGGGGACGAAGCGCATCGGCCAGGCGCTTGGCGACTGTGGGCAATGGCGGGGCCACCACGGCCACGTCCAGTGTCCTTTTTCCCTGCTCCTGATTGGCCTGTGGGTCCTTGGAAATGTCTAGTTGGCGCTGTAGCTGGATCGTGTCGCCCGTGTGAAGCTGCACGCTTAGCAGGCGAGAAATCCCAAGTTTATCGTAGAACTCGCTGCCTCCCGAGCCGTAAGCCAGCAGTTCGAAGATGGCCAGCTGCGACGCATCCACTGCGAGTATCACCTTGCCACGGGACGGGGTGGCAGGGCCAAGAGCTCCCTCGATCGACCGAGCGAAGGCTGCCAGCGCGTCCGCCTTGAGCGCACTCTCAAGCTCCATCCCCGGCTCGGATTTTTTGTAAATGACTTGCGGTGTATTTATTTGAACAGCTAATAAAACCTTTAATTAAGAAAATAAGTTTAAATTTGCTCTTTATAAAAACATTATTATCGCCAAATACCAGTTTCTTTATTTTGCAGCTGCTTTATTGTAACACAAAACCCAAACGAGCGCGCAAGAAAAAAACGTTTTGGAGAAATTACATTTAGCGTCCGTTTTATTAAATTACTTCCAAAATGCGTCCATACGGCCCCGTAGAAGTCCGCCTACGTTTTGGCTACCGACTCACTTATCCATTTTGCCAACACTATCCTGTCCGATCAGATGGACTACGTGGCGCACTTCATCAAGTCACAGGGCTGATAAGAAGAGGCGCTGGCGCTGAGCACGTATTCGGGCCAGATGATCGATCTGGCGATGCAGTTGGTCAAGCTGAACGTTGCGCGGGTGTCGGATCTCGGAGGAGATTGGTAGGAGATATACGTGAGTTCAAGACGATCTTGAGACGTCGCACATGATGAGATGACAAGCGACCTCAGGAGGATGCGAAGGTGAGATTTGGAGTACGAGAAGAGGAAGAGCAGTTAAAAAGCTCCTATAGAGGAGAATGCATTACGCAAGACCATAAAAAACATTCATAACATCAAAATACAATCAGTCTTCAATCTACCTCGAGCACACCAAAGCGCATTACTGAAGAAGCGCACTATAAGCTACATGTTATGAGCCAACTAGTTCCGATAAGGCCTCACAGCGACCACACCCGCGAGACATCCAAGACGCTGATGCTCACGGGCTGAGCGTGACAGCAGACCCGCTCGCGCTGTTTGAAGGGACGCATTTCGACTCCGTTGCATCTGATGCCAATTGCCAGGGAAGCCGGAGCTTGAGCGCAACCTCTGAGCGACTGAGTAGACTTGAAGGACCCCTCGAAGGTATGGCGAAAGCTCACGGCTAGCCAAGCTGAGCTGCAGAAGCAGCTACAACAGCGCACATCATCCTTTGAGTATAAATACGGGGAATCGAGCGCATTTACAGACTTTATCAAGGCTCGAGCACAACGTATGAGAGTAGGATCACAAGATACGTCGATGAGAGCGGTGACGCAGGCGAGACCAGCTCCTGGGATGGCAACGTCACAGACGGAAGACACGACGAACGTGCAGAGATCAATAAATGTACCCATGACAGAGCAGTTTGTGCCACCACCGAACTTTGGCGTCAAGGTACCAAAGCCACGAGACCTGGACTGGGCCGGCTTTGCGAAGTTCACAGGCGAGGAAGTGTATTCCGGCCTTGGTGCTGTTTTAATACGTGGGGGCTAAGGTTCCTTCAAAGACTTGCTGCAGCGCAGCAAATGTGCGGAGGAGACTGTGGTGTAGTGATTTCTCCGTGGTTGCGGATTATCACCCGTCGACAAAGACGTGACACCGCCCAAGTTGTTCAAGCGACGAACCCTCGGTCGGGTGATGTACGGAGACGCCAAGGTGCAAGGGACTCGACGGCGTCACCTCCGAGTTTTCAACAAGTATCGGATACGGCCCTATGTCACTGAATCCAGGCTGTCCTTATTATTATTAATGGACTGGCCGGATTCGCATTAAGCGGACCATCTACGGTACGAACCCTCAGTGGCGGTTGGGATGAGTTCGCGGAATACTCAGCGACCTTTGGAAGACACGTTCACCGTCTGGGACAGGGCGCGGACCGTTAAAGATGCTCATGCGACGGTGCAGACGACGCTTGGCTGCAAGAAGATCCATAACGGATCATTGTTCACTTGATATTTGTATACTTGATTAGGACTTCTTATTAGGAATAGACCCGAAAGGGTAAGCTTAAATACAGAACAGAATTTCGACTCAAGCACACAGAGCGACGTCCGGCTTCAAGGTAAGCGTCAGGTCAAGCTTGTTTGAGTGTGTTATGCCTGTCGGTGAACTCGAAGCTCTGTAGCGAGGGTTCATCCGGCAAGACCAAGAGACTTTGTGTATTGGCCGATTATTATCGGGAGGTTTTACGTGACGGCTTATTGTTGCCTATTTGCACGACTGGGAGTGCTTGAATTGCCTCCCTTTTATTTCTTCCAGCCGAGTGTTGAACACTCGGTGATCTCGTAAAAAGCTTACCCGTGCCCGGTACCCTTCCGCTGTTGGGACCACGAGGATACAAAACACCTGCTAGCTTTGCTCGTGCTAGTAGCGTGTTCTTATTTTACTGGTTGGCCTATATAAGTAGTTTACAAGGTCCAGTTTGTCCCGGTGCAAGGGCAGAACTGGGGTCTTCAGGTCCGCCCGAACGATCGTTTACTATCCTAGTAGACGTATTGTTGTGGGAACATCCTAACTACATCTGTAGCTAGAGTTCACGTGGGATTTCCAACACCACAACTGGTGCCGCGACCCGGGAACAGATTGTGACCATTGTGAACTGTTTGTATGGCCTTCCAGTTTACGAGCTACCAAGAGAAGAAAAACAAGAAAAAGACAAGAAACATGGCGAAAGGACAACCGACGGTACCAGTTACGCCTGCCAAGTCTGGCGGGGCTCGCAACGAGAGTTCAAGCCCGGCTGCGCGCTTTGCAGCCGCCACCGAGCTTTCAGTGAGCTTCATCGACGAAGCGGACATCGGTCCTGACGCCCACGATTATGAAGATTACGAAGATAAGACGCCGGCTCCAGAGCCAGGCGCAGCGACGCCGGAGACGGCCACGCTATCATCGGGGCTGAGCGGGGCGACCAAGTCCCTTTCGAGGAACCTCGCCGACGAGCTCGATGATGTTGCGGGACCGGAACCGGCCTATGATGATTATGACGATGGGACCGAGGGTTTTAAACCTTCGGTGGCGAGTGCAAAGCATTCAGCACTGCTGAAGGCACCTCGCCCACCTATCAACGGTGATACACCAGCCGCCAAGCGCGTTTTTGACCGCGTACAAGCGCTGATGCAGAATGATGAGTGGATGCAGCTGTTCAAGCCCATCCCCAAGAAAAAGGACGACTGGCCTGCGCTTGCGCAGGAACTTCAATACCCAGTCAACTCGGTTTCGACTAGTCAAGTTGCCGAGGATTCAGTTTCGCTACTGTCGTCGCTGGGGTTCGAGAACGAGACGTACCCATCGACGATGTCGCTCCAGGATTGGAGTCCACATGAAGCCGGAGCTGCTCTCCAGAAATGGAAGAAGAAGCTTCGGAAGGCGTTTGGCGCTGTTGGCATCAATGCCGGAAAGCAGCCTGTGAGTCGACCGATGATTCAAGATGAAGATCCGTCTAAGATTCCACTGCCGCCGACGCCCCAACGACTCGTTCGTACTCCTCCGACCAAGCGTGGAGCTGAGCGTGGTGCCTTTGGCACTACCGAAGCCTCACCGTACTTTCAAGACTCGCACATGGTTACGCCACGTTCGGAGAGCCGTATGCAACGCATTTACGCAAGTAACGAGGGTTTGTTCGGTCGCCGAGGCGGTGCGCGAGCCCCCAAAAGTGGTGCCGGACGTCGTCAAGTCGACAGCGGTGGTTCGTCCAGTGACGATGACATTTTGGTGCGTACATTCGACGAGGAAGATCCTCAACTCGAGTTGATGCGTCAGATGAATGAGCTAGCGACGCTGAACGACGTGGACCCAACACCGAGGATTGAAATGGCTTCGCACCGACCGCTGGATCGCATCACGCCGTTCTCAGGCTCTCGGAACAAAAGCCTTAACTGTATGCAGTGTCTCCGTGGGTTCGTCTATGAAATGACTGGAACCCACACAGATGGCCGATAAAATGGTGCATTCCCATTTGAGCTAAGTCTCCGAGACGGAGCCATTCATTTGGTTTCCGTCAACTTCCGAAGAAGACGAAGCGCAAGTGGAAGCTGCTGAGCGATGCGTTCATCCGCTACTACTGCTCGCAGTTCACGCAGACGGCACTGTCGCGTTACTACTCCGCCAAGCGGGAACGAAATGAACATCTGTGCGACTACATAAACAGGCTGAACGGCTACGCTCGGACCGCCCGTCTACACTTTGAGAAGAGTGGTCGCGACGCGAAAGAACACGTACAGCAGTTCCTGGCAACATGCGACGATGACAAGCTAGCGGAGAGTCTCTACCACGCTCGAGTCGCCGACATTCACGAGCTCGAAGAGATCATCGAAGATGTTCTCAAGGGCAAGGAGAGAATGGCCAAGCGTGACAGTGAGTACCGATACTCTAAGAGTCGTGATACGCGACGCGACGATGGGTACGCCCGCAACAACCGGCGTGATGACCGTCGCCGCGATGACAACCGCAACAAACCACGAGTGACACTCATTGAAGCTACGGTGGACGACCTACTAGCTGAATTAGAAGGTCGTGAAGCTGCTCAAGGAGGCAACGAGTATTCAAACGAAGATCCGAACGCTAACGACAATGTCCAAGATGAGTACAACGACTTTCAGCCCGATAATACGGATGGTGATTTCTCATTGGATGAAAACGACCGATACCTCGCTGCTGCTAACGAAAACGAGCGCCGTGCAGCTGCTGAAGGCACCTACGCACGTTCGGACAACCGTCAACCGCGTGGAAACACGCCTGATCGCGAGAATGGCTTCAATCAAGATCGCCGAAGTAGTGACCGTGGGTTCAATCAGGACCAACGCGGTCGACGTGACTTCAACCGCGACAACCGACGCCCACAGTACGGACCATGCGCGGTGTGCGGTGGCATGAGTCACTCCGCCCACTACTGTAACAAGCGATGCAAGTTCTGCAAGCAGCTCCACGGTGCTGGACAATGCGAACTTTTCCGCAACTTCCAAGACCTTGCCAAATTCGTGCGCACTAAAGGCACGAGGGAGGAACTCCCGCCAGAGCTCAAGGCCGTCGTTCAAGAACGTCATTTAAACTAGGCAGCCCGCCAACTACAACTGGGTTGGTCCCTATCGGGCTGCCACAGTTAACCGAGCCTTCAATGGAAGCAGAGTGTATCTTTGCTTTCATGGGGCAGAGTGAATGGCCTGATAATTA